TCTCAGCTCCAACCTGGCTGAAGTGTTCTCCACAGCTTGGTCTCCTCTCCTCATGGCTGCTGTAGCTCCTACTTCCCCTTTTTCTTTTAAAACTGCTTCCTTCCCTGCTTTGCTTTTCCTTCTGCTGCTTTGCTTCCTTGTGATCTCACTGCAAAGGCTGAGAGCCCTCACTGGCACCCGTGTTTTGGGAGCTGCCTGCCTGCACCTTTTCACCTCTCCTGCTCCTGTTGAGCGCAGCAGAAATGGTATCTGTCCTCCCTCCCCCCCTTTCCATGCTCTCCCTCCCTCGTTTCCCTCTGACAGAAGTTCAGCTCATATGCAATGATGCATACAGAAGCACTAAGCGTGTGCTTAAGACATATAATAAGCACTTGTCTCCCAGAAGCTGATCTTCAACCTTGGGCTCCAGCACACTTCAGCAAAAAGATGGGAGATGCTACCTTCTCTGCGCAGAGCGGAAAGTGACACAGAGCTGCCTGTGTGTGAGCTGCGAGGAAAACACAGGCTGCCTTCATCCCTGCCTGGTACTTCTCCTTGACTAACCAGTCCTGCCCATCTCTGAATGTGTTTGCCTGACACATCCCGCTGCCAGTGGTGTATGTGCATGTGAAGATGTGGATGTGTGGCGCAGACTGTCCTTGGTTTGGGTGTTAGCACTTGTGCGCACATGCAGGCAGATGTGTGAGCACTGCAGGGCATTCATAGGCACAGACAGGCCCCAGTGGCATTCGCAGCAGCCAGGCTTTCAGCCGGGCTTTCTGCCTGGCTAGTTTTCACACTCCCGTGGCAGCCAGGAGAGGGGGGTGCAAAAGGTCACCAGGAGCTGGTGCCAGCAGGGATGCTGTGCCTGCTGTGCTGCAGCAGCTCACCAGCTAACCATGGCTATATTCCAGCTCAGTGCTGGCTCCTGGCAGCTCTGCATTGGGCTTGCAGTGCCCTGGTTTGCTTGACAGCCAGGCTGCTTAAGTAGCCACATGTCTCAGACAAGCAGCCTTTTCCCAGGAATTTTGTGCAGCAGCTTTTTGGCCAGGGAGGATGGCATAATGCTGGCCCAATTTGCAGATGCGAGTGAGTACTTCTGAACTGCTTGTGGCCAGTATGGAGCAGGTTCCCAACCCTGCATCCCAGGTGACACCAGGACAGCTTCTTTTAAAATGATGGCTCTGGAGAACTGATGGTAATGAGAAACCATGTGTCTTTTCTGCCTTCACACAGGCAGAGTATTATTTTGTGGTTCTGTTCTTGGTGGTTTGTTGTGGGGAGCTGTTTCACATGGGGCTTTTTCTCATCTTCATCTTTCATTTCCCAGTTGTAAATATGTAAATACCGGAGTCCTTTCCTTCCTGTTCAACCCACTGCTGCCTGCCTGTTCCACATGTTGCTGAGTCTGGCCCTACATGTCCCAGTGAGCTGTGTGAACGCTAGGAAAAGGAGAAGGCTTTTTCCTTCAAAGCCTGTACAACAGAGGGGTGGCATGGGGTGGCACAGAGCCTGCTTGTGCTGCAGACTGGGGATAACCCCTGCTTTCTATGTCCAGGCCTCCTGAGCAGCCCTTGGGGATGCATAAGGCATGCTGCAGCACCATGTGAATGCTACCTGGGTACCAGCAGGACAAACTGGCTTGGCCAAGCATGGTGGTTCCATGCTTCCCCTTCAGCTCTGGCTGTATGTGTGGCCCTGCTCAGACAGACCATTTTCCTTGCTCCATCATCAGCAAATGCAGAATTCTTGCCCTGCAGGGTGGGTGTGCTTCAAGCACCCAGAGGGGGTGGGGGGGTGGGGGGGGTGGGGTGGGTGAAGGGGCTGCACAGGAGGGGGTCGGTGGTGGGAAGCCGTGGGAAAAGGCAGGCACCATGCATCAAATTCCCAACTTGACATGAAGTGATGGAGCAGAAAGAATGAGCGACAGGGAGGCAGGATGGGAACAATGGAGGAGCTGGGGAGGACGGGGAGGAGGGCCAGGAGACTGGCCTGTAGCCTGAGAGCGGAACAGCAAACTGGCTTATTAATAACCATAACCCTTGTCCCTTCCTAACCTTGCATCTGATAAACTGTTCTCTTGATTCTTTTTTTTTTCTTTGTGTTTCTTTTTTTCTTGAATTCTCCCTTGGGCACTGCTATAGCTCAAATTTAGTCTCCATTATTTATATCTCTCTGTCTCTTCTATTTTCTTTCTTGTTTGGAAAATATACCCAAGAGGACTGCGGGACTTGGGAAGAGTTAGAAGTACAGGGGATGCCACATTGGATCAGTTGATCTAATCCAAGATCATCTTCTCTGCCTATACTCTGCCTCCATGGAAAATTTAACTGCCCATTCTGGTTAAAGTAAAGCTGTGCAATGTGAAGTTTGGTGGGAAGCACATTCCTCACTCTCCACTTGTCAGTGCACACCTTAATGTGTCAGGTTTGGTTTCTGTATGATGAGATTTGATATCCAGCGGGTCTCTCAGCTGAATGCTGGTACATGATGACCTATGGGGTAGTTGCAGAGCTGGGGCTGCGCAGACCAGGCTTTGCACCTGCTTTGCAGGGTGATCTTGGATGGATCATCTTCTTTCTCTGGGCCTCAGTTTCCTCGTCTCTAAGATGAGAGCTAATTAGATCTGTTCCCTTTGTCAAGTGCTTATGTAACATCTCTACAGCTGAAAAGTGCTGGAGGAGATGCCTTGTTTTGTACCTCAACAACAGAAAATACATCAGCTGCCTCTAGACATAGACAGTTCCTCAATGGTAGGATCAAGTACATGGAAGGGCATGTTCCCCCGATGGGGTGGAAATCAGTATGCATCATGCTTCAGAGAGAGCTGGAAAGAGATAATGTTAGGGAGATACTCACCCTAAAAGAAGAGGTCCTCTCAGCTTATATCCTGGGCATTTGATCTTGTTTCATCTTGCCCTGGAGCCCAGTATAAGGATCATTGGATGAAATAAATTTTCAGTTATGTTAGAGAGCAGTTGAATCTCAAACCTTTCATGTTGTGCCAGTTTATGCTTTTCGTTCAAGAAAAGGCATCATCTCAGCCACCCATCTATTGCAGTGGTGAGTCCCACAATAAACGTTCTCTTTTTCATTCCTATATTGTTTTAGTTCATGAGCTTCTCTGCCAGAGGGCACAGTGTGATGGAAAAGTGTTGGATCCATCAGCATCTTATGCTTCTAACATTTGCACGGGGAGCTATCTATTGCCTTCCTTGGGCTTGTGCTGCTCTCAGGAAAAGCAGTGTCTGAGTCAAAGTTGTGTCTTACCTGAGCAAATGTGAATGGTCTCACCTTTATGTAGACCTTACTGCATATGGACTCCTATCTCAGTCCTTTTCCACCTCTGCCCTCTCTCCCTGGAAAGCAGCTACCCATGGACCCAGGACTTCTTGGCCCATGCTCCATTGTGCAAACCCATCACGAGGTGGCACCACAAGATCGCCTTTGTTCTTTTGTTTTTGTAGATCTCCATTTTTCTTACTAGCCCAAGCCATTCTCTTGCTTTTTGGCCCATTGCTGCTCTCTGGACTCAGCTACTGCAGACACTTGTCTGGTTTTCCTTGGAGGCTCTCCTGGGTCCAAAGCCAGGAAAGACCATGGGTCAGGTCCAGCTGGGATAAAGCAGCTGTGAAGAACATGGCATAGAGTCTCAAAGAGTTAAGGCCAAAGTGATGAATGGGTGATGAGAAGGACTGTCTGCTTTTTTAGATGCAGGTTTGCTCTCTTTTGAAAGGATTCATGAACGTGCCTGAGAGGAGACCATAGTCCAGCCTGGAGTGCTCTTTAGCCCTTGCTGCCTTCTTCTCTGCTTTCTGAGTAGCTGCTGGTTAGAGGATGAATCTTCCCTGCTCTGCCTTTGCTCTGGCCTCCCTCTGGCTGTGTGAGAGCAGGCAGGGGCTGCCCGCCAGAGCCAGGGAGCATGGCTGTGCTGAGAGGGTAATGGATCTCTGGAGGCCGTTGACCTCAGCCTAGACAGAGCCTGCAACATGCATTTTGCAAACAAACTCGAGGTTAACTTGCTTATGCTGTTTCCAAATGAAGCGCTGTTCCTTCTTGCATGGAGGATGATGAGGCTGCTGTACACAGACTCTTCGTGCTGTCCTTCGGATGATCAGTGGGGTGAAGCAGGTCACATGGCTTAACTTTTGGTGCTTGCTCAACAGCTGGGAAAATAGCTCTCTGATACTTTGAACAGAAACAAGAAGGTTTTGAGCAAGATGACAAACAGGTACTGTATGAGACAGTCCCTTAGAGACAAGAGTACCTCAGTCTGGGTCCAAACCCAAGGGACGCCTTGGGGATGCTCAGATCCAGGTTTCACTGCTGGATCCCAATCCTAGAGAAGATTAACCTGGGGCTTTTGAAGACAATGCTTCTCTTCCCAGGAGCTGCTTAGCAAATAGCAATGATGATCTTCCTTTCCTAGACTGAGCTGTTGTGTTAAATTGGATTCTATCCCTTGGAGACCTCTCCCTCGAATGCACACCTCCTCATTACACTTTCTTTCTCCACTGTTGTTTTTCGTAACAAGCCACCTTTTTGTAAATGGTCTTTGTCTCCCATCTAGAAACTTGTCTGCCACCATAGCTTGGAGCTGCCTTTTGGGGCCAGAGATTCCTTTTTGTTTGTCTCCTCTGCTGAAGAGATTAATTTATATTCTTCCTCTCTCCTCTTTCTGAGATGTTCTCTTTCACCATCACCTTCTCCACTTACCTCAACCTGTTCTAGATGAGAAGGGGTGTATTGAGGGGTATCACAGCTTGCAGATGTTACAGATCCACAGTGGCATTTGATGCAATCAGACGTGGTACTTGTGTGCTCAGCCATCTATTTCAGCTCTGCTACACCACTCTCCCTACAAAAGAGAAGCCGAGGCACATTTGTGCATGTGGATGTTGCTTCCCTGCATCAGGAAACTCCCTGACTCTCAGACATCCCCTGTCTCTGACCTTCTCTGATCTGAGAGAGCTCTTGAGGGCCTTCTTTTCCAATGTGTAAGATGATATTGTATTTATCAGGTGGTGGGGAGCGATGGCAGCACCCAGCAGAGAGGAGGAGGTGATATCTGGGATCCCCTCTGTGGGTGCAGCTGATGGACAGGTTGCAGCCCACATCTGGAATGTGATAGTTGTCAAAAGGGAGAGTGACCATGGCACCATCATGTCATAAATGTGCAAGGTATGGGTGCAGGTGTGAGGGAGGGAGCTGTGGGGTGCCAGCCATGTGAATCCTCTGTCCTGGCTGATCACAGGTCAAAAGAATTGTGGAGGTCTCATTCAGATTCCTTTTGCCTATGATAAAGTATTTCTTCTGGTCACAGAAATGAAGGGTAGATGGTAGTGGCTGTCAGCCCTTCCTCAGGGAGCCCCTGATGCTCAAGTGCCTCAGCTGGGGCCTAAAGTGTATTGGCAGAGTGGCATCATGCCCTGGGGTGCCGGGATGGAGGAGGCAGGGATGCACACTGCCAGTCCTGGGATGCATGGGTGGGTGCTGTAGTGGAGCTCCACACTGAAGTGACAGGACAGGGGACTCCTGGGAGGGACCTACCTTCCATCCTGAGATCTGTGAGACCAGCGGGATCAGGAGGCAGCACAGCATCTCATTGCTGGCAGTGTGGTTGAGAACGCCGGACCAGGTCTGAAATGCATCGGCAGATTTGTGTGAAGAGCTGTGCTTAAGAGCCACAACACTGATTCATTTCCCAGCAATCCCCTGTCAGTCTAACCATAAACACTGTGGAAAGTGGAAGGTGGGGAGATGTGTTTCTCCAATTTCCTACAACAAAGCAGGCATAAAGGGGATTAGAAAGGCAACACTGGGGGGAAAGAGAGAGAGATTTAGAAGGGAAGGGAACATTAAGATCAAGAGGGATAAAATGCAGATTGAAATTGTTGGGCTAGAACAGAATAACTTCTCAGTCTATATATTTAGCTCAGCGAGGTATATAAACAGAAACCTACAGCCAGCTCAGCCACTTCTCCCCCAGTGGAGTGAGTCATCAGCCCTTGGATCTAAAGTTAGGTTCACGTCAGAGCTTACTCTCTCTCTCTCTCATTTTTCTCTTTCTATTTTGAAGGGTGTGGGAAAAGCTGAGCACTGTCTCCTGGAAGCAGCAAACGTAAACCCACAACGGCAACAGATGCTGGACCTGATGCCCTACCTGGGAGCCTGTTTTGTGTCTGGCTGCTTCTCCTGCTTGCTGTGTGCCTGGGGATGAGGTCAGCTAATCTGGGCACACAGTGGACCCAGCTCCGAGGGGTTTGTGTGATGAGATGGAGGGTGGTCTGGGCTGCACAGCCATTCATGGCAACAGGATTTGCAGTGTTTGGCTCCTGTGTGCTGTGCAGGAGAGCAGGATCTGCCATCAGGGCTGGCAAGAGGGACCAGGGCTGGGTCAGCCTGACAAGAAGCAGGATGATGCCCATGAGACCTGGTTAGAGGATGTCTTTAAATCCAGCATGGGCTGCTGCCTAATGAGCTCAGCCCACAGCCACCTGCAAACCTGCAGACAAGAGGGCTGCATCTCCCAGAGCTATCCACACACCTCTCTGCTTTGATATGCCTTCACCTTTCCTGCATGTTCTCTGTCACCCAGTCCCCTCCCTGAAGCAGTTGCAGTGAATCTCATGCTTTCTCCACTAACCCCCCAAGCCAGTGCTCCTGGCTCAGGTGGTGGCAGGGGCAATGCAGACTTCCCTGTTCCTCTCAAAAATCACAGAGGGGACAGGGGGCGACCCTTGAAAATGCTCTGGATGCATCTGTAGGACCAGCTTGTGCCTTGCTCACCTCTGCTGTGACCCACCTGCAGGAGGTCTGCAGGTCACTCCAAACATAGCCCACATGTATCACTCAGGAGAGGTGCCAAAACTCTTTGAAAGCACCTTGGGGGTTGAAGATGGAGCCTTGTGATTACTGTGAGCTGCAAGACAAGAAGCCATTCATCTTCAGACCCTTCCCTTAGGGGTGGTGGAGAAGAGGGTCTGCTTAGGGAGGGCAGTGGCTTCCCAGAAGAAGTGATAACACAGGGGATACCACTGTGAAGGAAGCCTGTGGTGTGCGTGCCAGCAAGCCCATGGAAATCCTCCCAGGTGTGTGCATTCTGGGGAGGAGTGTGGGGAAGAGAGGGCTTTGCTCTGGAGCATGAGCTGCCCTAGGCTTGCTCTCTTCACCAGCTCCAAATCTGTGAAGGGATGAATGGCATGGCTCCATTTACCCACCCAGCCCCTTTCCCTCTCCTCTCCTTCCAAGCCTGTTGCATGTTTTTATCAATTTGGAAGATTTATCTGAATGAGAGTTCAAATGTCTCTTTATCTGCATGCTGTGGGTATGCTGGAAGGCAAACAGACATGATCCTAGGATGTGGACATCAGTGATAACCCATGGGTTATCCTGGGTGTGTATTTATGTGCATCTGTCCTCCTGTGCCCCTCTGTGTGTACCCTTCACCTTCCTTTACCATTTTGTTTCTTGCACTTTTCGTTGCTGCCCTGTTTCTTTCTCCTGTCTCACCCTCTCTCCTGCCCTCCTCCTCATTCTCTTTTTCTCATTTGATATTCATGCATGAATAAATTCAATTGCATTTTTTCCCTGTTCCCCCTGAAGGGGCTTGTTGGTGAATTGCAGGCATCTGAAATCATATAATGCTCAGATTCATCATTTCGGGGACAGAATTGAAACCCTTCTTCTCAGGAAGGAATAACAGAAGCTTTTTATGAGGAGAGGGAGTGGTGGTGTCTTGTGGCTGGTGAGGAAGAAGAGGATTAACCTCAGCAGCCCAGGGTGGACTTGCTAGCATGAAGGGACGAGAAGGTCAGCCAGCCCCTCAGGTTTATGTGGGAATGGGGAAGGCATATGTAGGTGTGTGTATACAGGAGTGCGAGTGCCTGTGGTTGCTTTCGTATTTGCTATGTGTGGTGCTTGTGGTGTGCTTAGGGAAGAAGAGTAACATCTCTTAGGGGGCTATCAGGAATTGGTTGAGGCAGGAGCTGTCTCAGTGGGTTGCCAGCAGCCTGGCACCTGAGGATTCAGAGCGATTGTCTAAACACCTGTCTGGATGTTTGCCTCAGATGTCTTTCAGGACAATTACTTGGCTTTGGTGTTACTCCAAGTGCTGCTGTGGGTCTGGGGATGTGCCCAGCCCCACATCCTCATTGCACTAAGAAGCTGAGATTATTGGTGTGTCACAAAATTATGTCCATTGTACACTTCGAGGGGCTTTCTGACGTGGTTCAGCACTTGTTGTCCCCTGCTCCTACACGGGAGCAATCCAGATCATGCAAGACAGTGGACTCCATGTAGCTGCAACCATCTTTGGTAGAGAAGATGGCCAGAGGTAGTGTCCTGCACAGCTTCAGTACCAACAGGCTCTGACCACTGATGGGGAAAGGTCTGCCCACCACAAATATTTATTTTCCTGGAATAAAATCTCTTTCTGGCTTGTGGAAGATGCATGGGTTCACCATGTGACTGCAGTCCTGGTCAGAAGCTATGAAAGAAGAAAGGCTGGACTTGCCTGAGGAAGGGCTTTTCACAAGGGTTATGAATCAGGTAACTTTTGATGCTCGCAACACTCCTGTCATTTATTACACTGCTCCCTTTTATTTAGCACTCCTGGTGCACTCTGAGTATCCTCTGAGGGTTGAGTTTTGCTTTTCAGGAGAGGAAACAAGATTAAACACTTTATAAAACACAAAAGTGTTATGATAAAAGTGGACAGCAGCTGTCGTCTTTGCTCCAAAGACTTTTAAGGGTCTCACAAGAGATATTGGTGGTGGCTTCTTGGCTTCTGTCTGATGCCCTTGGCACAGCACAGCAGAGCCATGCAGAGATGGACAGCAGAGGAAAGGATACGTACTGGGTGGTTTCACCCTAGATGGTGAGTACATACGAGCTACCTTGAGGTGAAACCAGAGATGCTTTGGCTTTACCAGAAGGTGGGCTTGCTGCATTGCCTTTCCATCGAGAGTTAATGTTTGAGGGCTTGCTCTGTAGTACAACTAAAGTGCTTTGTTTTCCAGTCTTGTTAAGGTCAGATGTGTTAGTTACTCTGGCCCATGCACGTAGAGTCTGATACAGCCGACACAGGCATCTTTTTGGTGGGGAAGGGCTGGAGAAGGCTTTGTGTAACCCTGCAAGGAAATAGAAGAGCTTCTGGGCTGCAGCACATGTACCACACCCCAGCTGGGAGCTGGGTGGTTTTTAGAGCTTGTTTACAATCTATGCCCATGGCACAAGCAAGAATATCTCTGTCTCTTGTAACATCTGGAGTTTTATTGACCTAAACAGGCAAAACCCATGAAGAGCCTTGAGGACTGTGATGGCTTCAGGTAGTGTCTCTTTCCCAGAGCCTATTGGTGGATCCTCAGCAGTAAAATTGAAAGTTGATTCTCCAAGGATGAGGGGCCTGTGCTGGTGTGGGTCCAGGCTGCTTGGCCACAAGATGAGACCAGTGGTGTGGGGAAGCTGGGCTGGCCTCCATTGGAGGGGATCCAGGGCAGCCATACTCTGTTCTAGCCCCTGGATGGTGGGATCCCCATGTGTTATCCATCCCTCTTGTTTCCCCTGGCTTCACAAAATGCAGTAGGATAGTAATTTGCAGTGAGTTTTCCCACACCCTGACTTCCCACAGCAGATCATGGAGTAAGATGGGGGGAGAGGAGGGACTGGTTTGAGGGAGGGACTTTTTTGGGGGGGGGATGTTAGATTGTTTTTCAATTCTTCTTATTGGGTAATTCTTTAACCTGCTTGGTCTATGACCTATGGAGGGACACATGCTCACAACTTCAGGGCAGGGCAAACACACTGAAGCCTGTGTCCATCAGAAAAGGAAGGATGAGTGGGCTGAAGGCAGGGGAAAATAGCTATCCCGAGACCCCACCATGGATGTAGGTGTGTGACAGTGTGCAAGGAGACTTTTTCCTTTCCTTTGGCATTGCTAGAATTCCTGCCTTATGTGCCTCTAATTGTAGGTTTCCCCTAAAGACATTTGGTGTCACTGTAAGGACGGCATTTCACTCTCCCTTTCTGCCTGTACAGTTATTCTCTCTCTCGCTGTGCAGTTCGCTCCGTAAACCGTTGGTGAACATACCATAAGACACAGATAGAGACAGACAGACAGACAGAAACCACACACCAGCCCTTCCTCCTCACTTTCCCACCATGGAATAGCTAAACTTGCCCCCACCCACACCTCCATCACCTCCCAGCACCCCACAATTGTTTTGACCCTATGGTCTTTTTGGATGAAAGCTTCTGTCACTTCCAAACACCACCCGCCTGGAAAAAAACACACACACACACACACACACACACAGAGACAAATCCCCCCAAACCCTCCTGCAAAGGAAGAAGTCCTTTCTTCCCCCTCTTTTCTTTTGCTGAGACTCCAAAGCTTCAGACTTCAGCCTGAGCAGCCACAATTTCTTACCATGTATTCCCCTTTTAAACCATCTCCTTCCTGCACACGCTCAGTCCTTGCAGCCACGGATCTAACACAACTCCCCGCTTCTCGCCTGCAGGTTCTTTGCTCCCTGTCACTCAGCTGATCCTGATCTTTTTTTCTCCCGGTTCCCCCCCCCGGGTGCTGAGGTGTGTGTCTGTGTGAGTCTGCAGGGGGGGGAGGGAAGGGGCTTTTTTTCTCTCTCTTGGTGGGGGAATTTTTTCAAAGCACCTTCATTATTATTTTGTTTTGCTTCTCTGACTTGGACACTTCTCCCTTGGAGATTTCTTTTCCATGCAAAGGTAGGTGAGATGATGCATGCACACCTGGGTAACCTTACGTCTGTCTTGTTTCACTTGCTTTTGCTCTCCTTTTCATAGAAAACTTGTGCCCACCCGTGTACCTGCATCATTCCTGTTTCGTTTGGTACCTCTTTCCTCTGGCAGAAGTAAAGGCTGAGGGTAGACATGTCTGTAATGTTAATAATTCTGTCTTTCCGGAAAGGAAAGTTATTTCTCTGCATGTCCAGCTTTACGTGTATGTCCCTGTGTGGTGCCCATGTATGTGAGACTGCCTCTGTTTACCCAACAAGTAGCAATAATTGATTCTGGTGTGTGCTTTGGGCAGTGGTGGTGGTGGTGTAAAGGGAACGACCGTGTGTCCAGCAGTTCATGTCCATGAGCGATTGCAGCAGAGAATGTGTTTCTCACACATATTCAGCAGCTCTTTATACATGACTATAAATGATACAAGGAGTGTGAATAATCCCAGGATTTTCAAATTTAGCCCTGCTTAGTTTGTACTGTTATGATGGGGAGGG